CCGCTCCGTGCCCGAGGCGTAGCCGCTGGTGACGGAGACGGAGCGGGCCCGGCGCTGCAGGCTCTGGATCACCTTGTTGGCGTTGAGCAGCTGCACCTTGAGGTCCTGGATGTGCTGGTGCAAGGCCCCCACGTCCGGAGGCGGCACGGCCTTGAGGGCAGCCCTGGCAGCCCCCGGCCGGCGCGGAGACCCCAGCTCGTCGCCCAGGCTGGGCTCGCTGAACACATCGGGCTCCTCACACTCTGCAGAGCAGACGGAGAACAGGGTCACTGCTGTGTCCTGGGCAGGAAAAGCCCAGGATGCCTGGAGGCCCTGGCGGCGCTTACCGGGGCTGGTGGTCTCATCGCGCTCAGCCTTCGCCCGCACGTCTCGTAGCCCAGATCCTGGAAGTCCACCTGCACCTGCTTGCTGAGCTGCTGGGCGTTCGGCTCACCTGCCAGGCAGCCCCGTGAGCGGGCACCCTCCAGCGAGCCCCCATCGCGTCCCCTCCCCTCCCGGCCCTGACTCACGGAGCAGCACATGGTACTTGTGCAGCTGTGCCGCCTGCGCCCGCACCGTGGCCTCCGAGGCGGCGAGCTTGTCCTGCAGCTCCTGGCACTGCCTGTGGCGCTGCGCCGCCTGCGAGCACGACTCCGTGCCTGGCCGTGGCCAGTCCCCGCCGGGGGCTGTGCCCTGCTCCTGCAGGAGCAGCGACACACAGTGAGCGCCTGCCGTGCTCCCAGCCGCGCGCTGGCCAGGCCCCTGCACTGCTGTCACTTACGTGGCTCCCCTGCGCTCCGCCCAGGCTGCTGGGACAGGGTCTCTTGGGCGCGTCGTCCCAGGATCGTGCCTCCAGCGCGGGGCGCTTGGCGGCCACCGCTGCCCTCTCTGCTGGGAGCCCCTGGCCGTCCCTCACAGCGTCACTGGCCGGGCAGTCGCCCAGGGTGCCACGGCCCTTCCGCTGGAGCCTGTGGGGCTCAGGAGTTGGGGGGCCGCCCGCCCCGGCCTCCTCCTGCTCCCCGCTGTCCAGCAGCGACGTGGCTTCGCCCATCCGCTCCTTCAGCTCCGCGTTCTCCAGGCACAGGCTCAGCATCGCCTTCCTGGGGGCATGCGGCACCGTGAGGGGTTGGGGCGGCCAGGACAGGGGGTGGTCCCCACCGTCACCCGCCATCTTGCCTAATGTGGGAGACTGAGGAGAAGCCGGCTTCCTCCAGCTGTGCCTTCAGCTCCCGCAGCTCCTCTTCTGCCCGCACCTTCCGCTCCGGCAGGGCGGGCACCGTGCTCCCCGGCAGGGG